TTCAATTCTCAAAGTTTGTCTTTTCAGCATGTATAGGAGAGAGCCGCTCCAGAAAATTATGAGGTTACATTGTACGAGTGATCCCGAAGCGCGCAAGACTGCATAAAGGTCGACTAGCAGTCAAGCTACTGTTGTCCTTATTATCACGGCAATATCCTATTTGTGGAAGCACTTGCGATCACCTAGTCTTAGGTTCCCAGAATCACCATCTGCGTAAAGACTTATGGGAACACACGAAAGTCTTCGGCTTCGACCGGGGCCGGACCTTATGTGATGTGCATCGTAGGACGGCAATTGTAGACATCCCGCTCGACTCCGCTCCGTGATTCTGAACACCGGCCTCCGCCCGATCTTACACGTGCCAGTCAACATGAGTAGAAAGGTCCACAAGCATTGCTATTTTCTAGTCTGGAGAAATCACGTCGATCTCTCGAGCGGTCACATAAGGGGTAAATGACCTTGGATGTCATGTAAGGACTGAACACGAGCAAGACGAGATACAGACGATAATTAATATGGATTCAAATTGGTATTTGGCAGTCTACAACTCGTCCAGGATACGGAGGACGATCTAGACTAGATGCTAATTTATACGGGAAAAATGAAACGACTCTGGTATGGTAAAACTTGTGTCAAAAGAAGAATACCGCCCAAGAAACAACTTAACAGTAAGGAAAGGAAAGGGATACAAAACAACGCTCATGAATCCCAAATAGGTCCAAACGCGGGAATCCCTCTCGCCTCCATCCGATACACAAACTTATTCACAGTAGGCCCGTTGGAGATAATCGCAACGCACTCAGCCCCGCTCTCCTTATACACATTATACGCCAACTGCACCAAATCAGGCCTACCGCGCTCATCCGTATCCCAAATCAACGCGTCCGGATCCGCCTTGAGAATCAGATCCATGACGCCCTGCCCGTACGTCTTGAGCGGGTTCTTGGTCGACCAGACGACGCGCGCGGGAACCCGACGCTCCATGAGAACGGGAAGACAGGGACCAATACCAGAACCCGTCGCGACGAGGACCATCTTTTTGAAGAGCGGGGCGACGGCGAGGACGCCCGACGCCGGGGTGCCGCGGGTCCAGATCGAGGTGGGCGGGTTCTCGATGATGCGCTTGGTCCAGTCGCCAGCCTTGGAAACGACGATGGAGAAGCCCTTTCCGCTCGGCTCCGGGATGGCGGCGAAGGCGTGCCACTCGACCATGGGCCTGTCGGTGATGCGGACGCCGCGCGAGGTGCATGGCCCGGGTGTGCAGAAGTCAAAGTGCAGACGGACGGCGTGCTTGGAGAGCGGCTCCGGGACGACCTTTACGCGGCGGAGGCGCATCCAGGGCAGCGCGATGCTGAAGGATGTGAGGGCCACGAGGTAGAGCGCGGGTGTCTTGGCCAGGGCCGGGCCGAGGGGCTCAGCGGACATGGAGGCCGCGGTAGCGATGACGTGGGCCCATACGAGGGCGAGGGCCGACCAGCCGGCGAAGCGGTGCGTCCACTCGAACTGGTCGTGCATCTTGGCGCGGATGGAGGGGTAAGCCATGACGAGGATCAGAACAAGGAGGATGAGGATGAGATAGGTTAGAACGAGGGTGATGAGGTTGACGGAGTAAAGGGACTGAGGCGCGATGAAGTTGCCGGTTGCGGCGCCCGTGAAGATGACCCACCACACGGTGGCGGAGACGGCGCAGCCCGAGTGGACGCCGCCATTGTGGTAGACACGCGCAAAGTGTCTGCGGATGGAAAGTGGCATGGAGGTGGGCACGCGGGAGCACGCCCAGAAGATGAAGTTGACGACGTATTCCTGGCGCAGGAGAACGGCGCCGAGGAGGTTGGCGGCGACGGCGGTGGCCAGGTGGTTCAGGGGCAGGGAGAAGTTGCTATTACGGCTCTCGTACAGCATCCACACGAAGACGGCGAGGTTGGAGAGGAAGATGACACCAAAGAGCTTGCGGTAGGCGTTGAGTCCGCGGTGGCGGATCCATCTCCAGCCGTGGAAGCCCTTCTTCGAAGGAAGTTCGTACTCTTCTTCCTCCTTCTCGGCCGCTTCCTCAACGAATGCGGCCGTCTTCTCCAAGTCGATATTCTTTTGCTGGGAATCGACGACGGTGAAGGTGCGAGAGTCCACGAGCGTGAAGCCGCCTTCGCTGGTAGGGCTGACGGCCGTCTTGATGGACGAGGCGCTCGACGATTGCTGGGGCGTCGACATACCTGTCGGGATATCTGCCAGAGGCAGCGGCGGCGGAGTCTGGGCGGCACCACCAGCGGCGATGTCGCGGAGGGCCCGCTTGTCGACCTTGCCGTTGGGGGTTAGCTCGATCACAGTGAGGTACTTCCAGACGGTCGGGACGGCGTAGAACGGTTGGCCCTCGCCGACGACAGTCTTCAGCTGAGCTTCGTCGATCGGCGCAGGGGCAGAGTAGAAGCCCCACAGACGATCGTCGATTTTCAGCGCACATCCCTTGACGACGCCAGGGCATTTTTCAATAGCGCGAGAGACGCCGTCGAGTTCGACGCGGAAGCCAGAAATCTTGACCTGGTCGTCTTTGCGGCCGAGGGGCTCCAAGCTACCGTCTTCAAGCCAGCGAGCGAGGTCGCCAGTGTTGAACATCATACGACTGTGAGTGGTGTTCGTTAGCGTACTTTTCTCTCTGTCAAGTCTCGGCCGGAAGAACGGGGAATAAAAAGAGGCGCAAAACTAACCCATCCTTTGCGAACTTGTCGACCTTATATCTTTGTGCCGTCAACTCCGGCAAGTTAAGATACCCCCTAGAAACGCCTGGACCGCCGGCCCACATGATACCAGGTTCGCCAATCTTGACAGGGTTCTCATCTTCGTCGAGAACGTAAACGTTGGTGTTCGGGTTAGGCTTGCCAATCGACAAAGTCTTTCCCGGCTTATGAAGATGCGCGGTGTTGAGAATGCTGATCTCGGTAGGACCGCATACGTTCCAGAACTTGACGTAGGGCGCCCACTGCTCGGCGAGCGCCAGTGGACAGGGTTCACCACCGACAGCGATCGTCCTGATGTTGGGGAAGTCCTCGCGCCTGGGCATGTGCTTGAGGACTACGGAAGGCGTCGCGATGACAGTGTCGACGCGCTGCAGGCAATCCGTCCAGAGATCATTGCCGCTGCCTCTGATGTGAAGCGTTCCGCCGTTCATCATGGTGCCGAGAATCTCCCACGCGCCTAAGTATCCATTGCCGCGTCAGCGTGGTCGGCCACTAAAGAAATAGAGTTTGAGACATTTGACTTACACATATCGAAACCGACGTTCAACTGTTGCGCTACATTCTTCCCGACACGGATGCCCAGCTTGGAAGGCTCCGCTAGAAGGGTGTTGGTAACGCCTTCGTGTCTCACATCCACTCCCTTGGGTCGCCCGGTAGTGCCCGAGGTGTAGATCACATAGGCTCCATCTTCAGGCTTGACAATGACACCGGGGTGCCCATTGTTGCCGTGCGTCCACAGCCAACTGTTCGCATCGAGGTCAACGACCCTCACACGGTCCCGCCTTTCAGAGGGCACGCTGCGCAGCACCTTCTCCCTGAACTTGGGAAGGCACAGCACAACCGGCGCGTTGGAGTCGACAATGTCGTAGCCGAGTGTGTCTTCGGGGATGATGCCACCATCTAGAGGGACATACTGGCCACCGGCCTTGAGGACGGCAAAGATGAAGACGACCATTTCGATGCATCGGGAGTAGACGAGCACTACACGGTCTCCTTTCCTGAGGCCGTATGTTCCCCTCAGCTCATTGGCGAGCACATTGGCCCTGCGGTTGAGCTCCCGGTATGTGATAGTCGTGCCATCGTAGTGTCGGACAGCCGTGGCGTCAGGATGTGCTGCCGCGATGGACTCGAAGGCGTGGTGAACGACTTGGTATGGTATCACATCGCTCGGTCCTCTGCTGAATTGGTTGAAGAGAACTCTGTCCGCCAGGGACAGGTGTTCCAGAGAGTGGAACGAGCGCGAGGGAGCCATGGTGATGAGCTTCTGGATGTTGATGCCCTGCGATAATGTTGCCTACCAGTAACACATCTCGTAGCCACACCACGAGAGGTGGGCACTTGGAACCAGATATATCTCCTCCACGGGACAGTCGCGTCTGTGTGTTTGTGCGCCAATGTCCTAGAGAAACGGAGAAGCGCCAGACCCTGCCCGGCCTTGTGGGGGAGTGCATTCTTCGTTTTGGTCACTTCGCCAAAAACCTGCCTAGATTGCCTCAACCTCCGTGTTCAAACAAGGTTCCATATTCTCAGAAGCACCCCCGTTAGCCATGGCATGGTCCATGGATGATATCAGGGCTGGACTCTTTCCTTCTTTCAGCTCCTTGCTATGCAGACAATTGTTTTAGATAGTGTGGAGAACGGACGACTCTGTGATGAACTAGTGTAGGTAGAGACGGGGTCACTTACAAGGAACCTTGCAAGACTATGGATGTGATCAGGATCCCTCGATGAACGAATGCGGTCTCTGTACGGAGAAGCGGATCCTCGACCATGGATGCAAGCGCAATAGATACTCAGAGTAGAGGGAGACTATATTTCGTCGTGACAGGCACGGCCGCCAAGGGAGCGTCTGGAGCAGTCGAGAGTCCGCCTCCACCCCTTTAGATGTGGGCAGAAATTTTGTCGTAACGAATGTCTCCATTCCGCGGTAACAGGACCGCTGGCGGTTCGGCGGGGCCACGCCGGATGAGTTGTCCAAATCCGGGAAAAACGGAGAGCGATCCGGACCACATCCGCCCAATGCGGCAGCTGTCGTCCTCTGTCTCGTCGATGGAGCACTTCGCGGCCCTCGCGAGGCGTTGCCGTGGGATGTAACAAGGGGCACGGCAGTGGAGGACGGACGTCTTGGAGATGGATAATGACCAGGGGGGCTGACAAAGTTGTTGTCAATCAGTCGACATGTGCCATCCATTACGTGCCGCGATCGTGGAGGAGGAGGAGGGAAGAAGGGAAGCTAGGCGCCTGTGCGGGTTATGCCTTGCTTCTGCCATGGATGGTGCCCTGTCTGCACATCGTTCCCGGGAGCAACCCTGGCTTCCGCGGCTCATGATGCCTGTCGACCGTTTGGCCGCCCACCCCTCTCCCTTGAACGACCCTCAGGCCAGTTTTGTTCTTCTTCTGCGAGCCTACCCCCAGGCAAGATGCGACGCTACTCAAGGTCGACACCCGCCTCGGCCGAATTCGGTCACAGCCGGGTGGAATTCTCTAATAAAGTGCGGCGATGTTGTTGCTGGCGAAGAAGAAAAGGGTCCCAGGAAGAAAGAAAGCAAGACCCGGGAGAAGAAAAGATCCGACGACTTCGACTTCTTTGTCTCTCTGCCATGTGCTGAGCACGCTGCTTCAACAAGCCATCAACAACAACACTGCCCCCTCTCTCGCCTTAGTCACCTCGGTTTACCTCCAAGCTTCCACGTTTTTTAATCAATCGTCGCACTCCGGTGATCCGCTAGTCCCAAACTCTTTTTCTTTTCTTGTGGCTCTATCCATACGGCAACTCCTCCGGCTCCCGAGACATCATGGAGAACCTCACCACAATCAAGTTGACGGTCGACTCCGAGAAGGGCGTCGCCCTGGTCCGATTTGACCGTCCAGCCAAGAGAAATGCCTTCTCTCAGGTCATGATCGGCGAACTTGTTTCGACACTGGCTCACCTCGATGCCCTGGAGACCATCCGCGCTGTCGTCGTTACTGGTGGCCCTGAAGGTCCCTTCTGTGGTACGTTTTGCAATTCTTCTCATACCAGTCGAGACAGATTTCAGAGTCGGGCTCCAGAGAACCATGTCTTGAGGGGGGCGCAACAAGCTTACCCCCGTCGTCGGATCCTCTGGCCTCAACTCGTCTTTCTCGGCTTCACTTCCCTTTTCCTTTACCCTTCCACGTGCAATCTGCACACTCATCATCGTTGGCGCCGCGCACGGCAGTCGATGATTTCCCGACCAAGCAACTGCCATCTCAACTCCATCTGATTCCCCACGGACTTGATACACAGGGGGATGTCCGCTGTCGTTCTTGTTTCCAAGTCCCTGAAACGTCATGAAAATCCGCACCAGGGTTCCACTGGCAGGCCCCCCTCTAATCTAATCTAATGGAGGCGCGACGTTGGCTAATCCGTTTTGTGGTGCAGCCGGGATGGATCTCAATGAGCTGGTGCAGATCTCCACGGCAGCGGCCCACCAGCGCGCCTTTCTCAAGGACCTAACAGACGCCTTTGCCAACTTCTCCAAGCCCATCATCGCGGCTGTAGTTGGTTTCGCAGTAAGTTGTGGTGTCGGAAGTGGGAGCCGCCTCCCAACATCTGTGCTTTTCTTTCTTTTCTCTGTTGCCTCGCATGTCTCACAGAAACAAGGCTAACGTGAGAGCCTCAAGTTGGGCGGTGGTTGCGAGATCGCTTTGGCAGTAAGTCAAGAGTTGCCTCCCCCCCCCCCCCCCACATGTTTCTGCGAGGTAAAACCCAAACGGCTGACCCTTCACGATCAGTGCGACATGATCTACGCCGCCGAAGATGCTTCGTTCGGACTCCCAGAAATCAAGATCGGAACGATTCCAGGCGCGGGCGGCACTCAGCGTCTAGCTCGTGCGCTGGGCAAGCACAAGGTGAGTAGGCAAACCCAGCCGATTGACTCGTGCTGGCCGACTTGAACAGCCGAAATCTTCGCTCTCACCTTGAAACCGGTGAACTGACCAGCTATAGGCCATGGAGTTCGTCCTTACCGGCGACTCAGCCAGCGGTGCCGAGTTTGAGCGTCTCGGCGTGGTCAACAAGGTGTTCCCACGTCAAGAGGTCGTGCCAGCCGCCATGAAGCTCGCTGAGCGCATCGCCGTCATGTCGGGCCCCGTGACCAAAACTGCGAAGCAAGCCGTTCTCACAGGTGGGCTGCTCCGGCTCCAAAACCGCTACTACGGGGTGGCTCCGGATCCCACCAAGGGATCGAGGGGGCGGGCCCCTGTGCGGACCCCGTGTTCTGACTCGCTAACCCTGCTACAGTCGAGAATAGCCATCTTGATGCCGGGATGACCATGGAGAAATCTCTTTACTACTCGACTTTCAGCCTTGGCGATTTCAATGAAGGAATGACCGCATTCCTGCAAAAGCGACGTCCCGACTTCAAGCACACGTAGGTTTCGGGTGGCCCGTACGTAACTTTCGGGAGAGAACCGCAGCAAATGTCACGCGCCGGGTACCGCGCTGCATGGTCATCATACGCACTATAAGGTAATCGGTAGACTCCGTACGCTCGGGTGACTCGATCCAACTACTCTACTCGAGTCCGTGGATTCCACGCGCCTCGGGCTTATCGATCGTTGTTGACTCGTTGATTACTGATGGTCGGGGACCATATTCGTAGTGATGCTGGGCAGCAAACTCTACTAGATACGGCAGCTGATGAATCGAACTTTGTTTGAAATGCCACCGTGCCATGTCGCCTTGGATTTCGGAAGCAAAAAGAGAGCGACTGCAATGATTGCACTTTACAAGTCCATCATGCACTCTTGGCATCGATATCGTGATAGTGTGCACCTCCTCGATTCGGATGGCGTGTCAATGTCACTGCACCCCTATCAACTTGTTCAGGGAGGACGGTTATGTGAGCAAGGAGGAACTTTTGCGCCGAATGTTGCTGTGATCTGCGTGGCGTGCAGTGTGCAGCGCGTTAGATGGTTACAGTGCCATCCGTAGTCCAACCCACCACCCGAATGATTCTTCAGTAGTGTACCCAAGCCCATATGCAAATGATCGTTTTCGTAAGGTAACCTTGGATTCATACTACTTGCCATTTTCGCCTAGGTAGGTCCTGTTACTTCCTGCATGTGTTATTGCCTCTAGAAATACATTGAAATGGAGCAAAAAAAAAAAAAGCAGTTTCGAGTCCATACCGTGCCTGGTCTTGTTTCGCTCTCATCCTTGGCTGCCTCAATCGTTGTGCTCCTCTTGGCGTAACAGCGACTGCGCCATTTTACCCGCGCGCGCAGCACTCGGTGCAACATTAAAGCGTTGTGCCTGTTGTTCCGACATCAAAGATGGAATTGCGCCACCCGTCTTGTTGATACTCGTGCACTCTGTCGCCTGCCAGCGCAGCCTCTTCGTTCCACATTTTGACGAGACTACCAGGGGCATATACACCCTTGAAGACTCCCCGTCCAGGCTGCGCGACACCCACACGGGTGTACAGATCGGGGTCCTCGGGGGGCACCAGCCTGGCCGCCACAGCTTTGAGGAATGTCCACATATCCTGCGGGTCGGCAATACGAGTGGCCCTCAATCGTTCGCGTGCAAAGAGGAGTTCTCTGTTGGCGAAATGAAGCAGCTCGCCAATGCTGGCTGCAATCTGGGCTTCCAATGCGGCCTTGACCGTTGGCCGAATCAGAGGCTTGAGTAGCCAAGCGAGCCAGGAAAACTTGCTCTTTCGGAGGCTGTAATTGAGATGGTGGATGCGAACACGGACATTGTGCAGCGTCAATATGTCCTCAAGCCGCTCCTTTCCAACCTCCACATCAATAGCAACATCGATACCACGCTCATCCAGGTAAAAGCCCGCAATGCCAGCGTCTGCCAACCTCAATATTCCCGAGTGGAGGCGCAGCCAATATCCGAGGTCTTCGGCTGCAATCGACAGGCCTGATACCGTGATCCTCATGAGAGTCTTCACCGAAGACGTGGTGCGGAAGCGTGCCTTGCGGATCTCGACATCATTCTGTGTGGAGATATTGATCTTGAATGGTAAGAAGGAGCTGTTGTTGACGGTGCGCCCGGGCTCCAAGATAAGGTTCTCTAAAAGGAGATCGATAGCTGGCGCCGATACTTCCACCCGAGGAATCGGGATGTACTGAATTGCCTGCACTACCATGGGTATGAAGACGTTGATGGAGTCTGCCACCAATTCGCCGTTGGTGTACTGATGTGCAGGCGACAGAATTCGCAAGATTCTTCTGGTGGTGTTCATGGCCTTCTTAATATCTGTGTCCTGAAGCACAGAATTCAGAGCAAGATAGACCTTCTCCAGCAGCGCATCAAGATCATCGCGTATTGAGGACTCGGATGTCAACTGTCTCGACTTGGCTCTCAGTTCCTTGAAGCGGTCTTCGGCGTGATCGAAGAAGTCAGGGTCCGTCAGTATGTCCTGGAGCAGATTGCCGATCTGTCTGACAAGATTGTCAAATTCTGGATCGCTGTGGCCATGTTCCATGACCGCCTTGAACTGGACCTCAACATCATTCCAGTGCTCACGGTTACCCAAAGACGTCAAGAACAGCCAGAAATTGTGGAGTGCACGATCAGCCTCTGGATTGGTGTCGATGTCTTCTCGAGCGACCTGGATGGTATCGGAAACTGCGTGCGAATAGGCCAACAAATATCGACGGATGAGTAATGAGAGAGTCGATACCGAGTCGGAGTAGTCTTTTCTCTCTCGCAAATTGACAATGGTGCTCTTGAGCCTGTGTACCAAGGTCTCTTGTTCCTCGCCGGTGACATGGTCCGTCAGGCTCTGGCCCGCTTCGTCAGCGACACGGGCGACGCCGTCAGTGACAACCTTTGCGATGTCGACGACCTCATCTTCCAAATCGTCCTTAGTCGGGGGAGGCTTCGAGTCCCCGTTGGGATGCTTGACGGCTTCTTCTTCCTCTTTTGAGGGCTCGATATCCTTGGCCGCTTGCTTCGAGACGTCCGACAGGGTGAACGCAGTATCGCGGAAGACCTCTCGACCAATAGTGCTCAGATCCGAAAGTAGCAGGCGAAAATCCGAGTTGGTTAATATCAAGGAACCCACCGTTTGTAAGCTTTTGTACGCTTGGCAATTGTCAGTTTAAACTCTGAACAAACTTTCTTTCCTTGGTAGGAGCCGACGTGGGGTTGCTGGTATTAATAAAATAGAGACGACCCACCTGCTACAGTGTCGGCTCTGGCCTTTGCCTTGGATGCTCGTGCACCGATGTCGTACGCGTCAACTGACAGACGAGCCTTGGTGAGATACCAGATGAAATCTTGGATCTGGTCCTTATCGTTCTTGTGTAATAGTAGCTCGATAAGTTGCTTGATCAAAAGCTTGATGTTGAGAACCAGGGCTCGCCCAGAGTCGCTGAGGTCGGGGGTATCAGGGTTGAGGACGTCAGCAGACAGTAGACTGCGCAGGTTGACAATAAGCTGTTCATTGGATGGCATGTAACCCTTCCCGATGGCACGAAGCATCTGGTACGTGTGCAGTTTCTCGTGCAGGCGCTGTTGCAAGGCTGTGTCGTCGTTGTAACGCGGCAGTAGAGGCTCGCGCTCGCGTTCCTCGCGCGATGGGCGGCCGAAGCCGAAGAAGGACATCATTTCGTAATGCGACTGCGGTTGAAGCCAAGTATAATGCTCGATGCACTCTGCGGCTTGCTGATAGACGGTAGTTTCTCAAGCTGGCCAAGGTATCGTCGGTCTATTTGGG